AAGATGCACCTGCAACCTGGAGCGGGCACCCTCGGCTGTCTGGCGGAGCCTCAGCAAGATTCCTTTTGTGCCTGCTTAACGATCGAGCAAACCGTACCCATGCCTGTGCGCTGGGAGAACAAGGTCAGCGCCCCAAGGGCGTGCAAGGATGTGGCAGGCTTCACGGAGGAGGTGGCATCTGCCCGGAGCCGGGGACGACCAGGTTGGATTTTGACAGACTGCCACTCCGGTCGGAACAGATGGGGAGCACAGTGCTAAGCTAAAGCCCCATGTAGGGACCCACACATAAGACCTTGTGGGCTATCCAGGGCCACCATCTCCACCCATGGGGGGAAGGAGGCTTGGAATGAAAACAGTTCTTCACCTGCCTCTGTGAACCTATTTTTTTTTTTTATTAATTCTTTTTTTTTTTTTTAATGACAGGATTTCAGATGTTTGTGGTTTTTGTATTTGCTTCCGGTCTCTGGTTCCCCAGGCTTGGAGTGCAGTGATGGTAATTCAGCTCACTGCCAACCTTGACCTCAAGCAGCTCTTCACCTTCATCCCAAGTAGCTGGGCACCAAGCATCCGGCCATGCACCACCTACACTCACGCTCATTTCATGTTTTTATTTTTTACGAGCATGGGGTTTTCACCGTGTTGCCCAGGCTGGTCTCCGAACTGCTGGGAATACAGGCCATGACCACTGTGCCAGCCTCTTTTTTTTTTTTTTTTTTTTTTAACTGCTTTTGGCAACATCACAGCAGAACGCTAAAGGCAGAAAGCAGGTGCCCAAGCGCTTACGCAGTGTGGCATGCCAAGAAGGCTGTTCCAATGGGGAGAAGCCAGCAGACGCAGAGCGTTAATGGTGTGGCCCCTCGACTAGGAGTGGTGGTTCAGTGAAGGGGAAAACGGAGACAGTGGGGGCCATCAAGAAGATTCTCTGCAAGAGTGGCGGTGTCTACGGATTGGACCAAGAAAACCTCGCACAGGAGATCCAGATGGAACAAAGCTGCCTTAGCTCTGCACATCAGTGTTCAGCGGAGCTTCGTGCTGATCGGGCTTCTAGTGCACACGGACTGGGCCCTGAACAGCAGCAAGTGTAGTATGCTGGCCCCAGCGCGTCATGGAAAACCTGATGCAGACAACTCGGGGAGGCTGAGGCGGGAGGAGTCATCTGACGACCCAGGAGGTCGAGGCTGCAGTGGAGCTGTGATTCTGCAGCTGTACTCCCAAGGATGGGCAACAGAGGTGAGCGCCCATCTCAAAAAAAGGCGCAGAGAGACATTCCGAAGCCCCCCAAGCCACAGGCGTTTGTGCACAAACACTGGTACTTGGACTAGGCCCAAACCAGGGAGTTCCTCAGCCCTTGCCCATATTAGAATGTATCTGAAAGTTTAAGATAATTCACATCATGCGCAGGCCGCGGTGGCTCACGCTGTATCCCCAGCAGCTTTGGGAGGCCAAGCGGGCAGACTCGCGAGGTCCAGGGAGATTGAGACCATCCTGGGGTTAAACAAGGTGAAACCCCGACTCCCTACTAAAATAACAAAAAATTAGCCAGGTGTGGTGGGCGGGGCTGTAGTCCCAGCTAACTCGGGAGCGCTGAAGGCACGAAGGCCGTTGAACCCAGGAGGCCAGAGGGCTTGCAGTGAGCAATATCGTACCCACTGCACGTCTCAGCCCTGGCCGACAGAGCAAGACTGGGCGTCGAAAAAAAAAAAAAAGAAAAAGCGGCATGGTGGCAACGTGCTGTAATCCCAGCTACTCAGGAAGCTGAGAAGGAGAATCACTTGAACCCAGTACGGCGGAGGTTGGCCAGTGAGCCAAGATTGTCCCATTGCACTCCCAGCCTGGGCAAACAAGGAGTGAAACTTCTTCCCCGCTAGAAAAAAAAAAAACAAAATCACATCCAAAATTTTAAAGATAATTCACCAAGCCAAATCACACTCAAAAACGAATTCTCTGGGGTGGGCCTCAGGCAGTGTTGGTTTGTTTGTGTTGAGAGACAGGTTTGCTGTTGTCCATGCATGGATTCAAAACACCTGGGCTCAGCAGGTGTAGTGTGTTCACACTGTAATCCCAGCACTTCGGGAGCTGAGGCAGATCATTGAGGTCAGGAGATCCGAGACCGCCTGACCATCATCGGTAGAAATGAGACAGTCTTGCTCTGTCGCCCAGGCTGGAGTGCAGTGGTACGATATTGGCTCACTGCAAGCTCTGCCTCTTGGGTTCACGCCATTCTGCCTCAGCCTCCCGAGTAGCTGGGACTACAGGCGCCCGCCACCACACCTGGCTAATTTTTTGTATTTTTAGTAGAGTCGGGGTTTCACTTGTTACCAGGATGGTCTCAATCTCCTGACCTCGCGATCTGCCCGCCTTGGCCTCCCAAAGTGCTGGGATTACAGGCGTGAGCCACCGCGCCTGGCATGATGTGAATTATCTTAAAAACTTTCAGATAATTCTAATATGGGCCAAGGCTGAGAACCCCTGGTTTGGGCCTATCCAAGTACCAGGTTGTCACAAACGCCTGTGGGCTTGGGGGGCTTCGGAAATGTGCTTCTGCTTTTTTTGAGATGGGCGCTCACTCTGTTGCCCATCCTGGAGTACAGTGGCACGATCACAGCTCACTGCAGCCTCGACCTCCTGGGCTCAGATGATCCTCCCGCCTCAGCCTCCCGAGTGTCTGCGTCATGGTTTTCATGACGACCTGGGGGCCAGGCATACTACACTTGCTGCTGTTCAGGGGCCAGTCCTGCACTAGAAGCCCATCAGCCACAACTCCGCTGAACACTGATGTGCAGAGCTAAGCAGCTTTGTTTCCATCTGGATCCTGCGTAGGTTTTCTTGGTCCATCCGTAGACACCGCACTCTTGCAGAGAATCTTCTTGGGATGCCCCACTGTCTCCGTTTTCCCTCTTCACTGAACACACACTCAGTCGAGGCACACCATAACGCCTCTGCGTCTGCTGGCTTCTCCCCCATTGGAACAGCCTTCTTGGCATGCCACACTGCTAGCCGCTGGGCACCCTGCTTTCTGCCTTTAGCGTTCTGCTGTGATGTTGCCAAAACAGTTAAAAAAAAAAAAAAAAAAAAGAGGCTGGGCACAGTGGCTCATGCCTGTATTCCCAGCAGTTCGAGACCAGCCTGGGCAACACGGTGAAACCCCATCTCTAGTTTTACCATGATGGTCAGGCTGGTCTCGATCTCCTGACCTCAAGTGATCTGCCTCAGCCTCCCGAAGTGCTGGGATTACAGTGTGAACCACTACACCTGCTGAGCCCAGGTGTTTTGAATCCAGCATGGACAACAGCAAGACCCTGTCTCAACACAAACAAACAAACACTGGTGCCTGAGGCCCACCCCCAGAGATTCTGTTTTTGAGTTGATTTGGATGTGAATTATCTTTAAAATTTTGGATGTGATTTTTTTTTTTTTTTTTCTAGGGGGGACAGAGTTTCACTCTTGTTGCCCAGGCTGGAGTGCAATGGGACAATCTTGGCTCACTGCAACCTCCGCCTACTGGGTTCAAGTGATTCTCCTGTCTCAGCTTCCTGAGTAGCTGGGATTACAGGCACGTGCCACCATGCCCGGCTTTTTTTTTTTTTTTTTTTTGAGACAGTCTTGCTCTGTCGCCCAGGCTGGAGTGCAGTGGTACGATATTGGCTCACTGCAAGCTCTGCCTCTTGGGTTCACGCCATTCTGCCTCAGCCTCCCGAGTAGCTGGGACTACAGGCGCCCGCCACCACACCTGGCTAATTTTTTGTATTTTTAGTAGAGTCGGGGTTTCACTTGTTACCAGGATGGTCTCAATCTCCTGACCTCGCGATCTGCCCGCCTTGGCCTCCCAAAGTGCTGGGATTACAGGCGTGAGCCACCGCGCCTGGCATGATGTGAATTATCTTAAAAACTTTCAGATAATTCTAATATGGGCCAAGGCTGAGAACCCCTGGTTTGGGCCTATCCAAGTACCAGGTTGTCACAAACGCCTGTGGGCTTGGGGGGCTTCGGAAATGTGCTTCTGCTTTTTTTGAGATGGGCGCTCACTCTGTTGCCCATCCTGGAGTACAGTGGCACGATCACAGCTCACTGCAGCCTCGACCTCCTGGGCTCAGATGATCCTCCCGCCTCAGCCTCCCGAGTGTCTGCGTCATGGTTTTCATGACGACCTGGGGGCCAGGCATACTACACTTGCTGCTGTTCAGGGGCCAGTCCTGCACTAGAAGCCCATCAGCCACAACTCCGCTGAACACTGATGTGCAGAGCTAAGCAGCTTTGTTTCCATCTGGATCCTGCGTAGGTTTTCTTGGTCCATCCGTAGACACCGCACTCTTGCAGAGAATCTTCTTGGGATGCCCCACTGTCTCCGTTTTCCCTCTTCACTGAACACACACTCAGTCGAGGCACACCATAACGCCTCTGCGTCTGCTGGCTTCTCCCCCATTGGAACAGCCTTCTTGGCATGCCACACTGCTAGCCGCTGGGCACCCTGCTTTCTGCCTTTAGCGTTCTGCTGTGATGTTGCCAAAACAGTTAAAAAAAAAAAAAAAAAAAAAAAGAGGCTGGGCACAGTGGCTCATGCCTGTATTCCCAGCAGTTCGAGACCAGCCTGGGCAACACGGTGAAACCCCATCTCTACAAAAATAAAAAATGAAATGAGCTGAGTGTAGGTGGTGCATGCATGCTTGTGGTACCAGCTACTTGGGAGGCTGAGGTGGGAAGACTGCTTGAGGTCAAGGTTGCAGTGAGCTGAGATTACATCACTGCACT